GAACATTGATTTTGAAACTTGTGAATCCATTAGAATCATTAGAAGGCAGAATCGCGATTCATATATGAATAGATTTTTACGTGCACCTCTAGTTTTCTCTTCCTCTTCTCTAAAGCAGCGCAGCATGGCCCCACCCCCTTTGCTGCGTGTTCCAGAGGGCGGGGTTTATCTGGGTTTGTGATGTCACGAACCCGGGAAGTAACTTGTAGTCCCTACCAGCTGTTTTTGTAGGCATTAAACTGCCAGAATTTTAAAAGACGCATTGCATTGAACTTTCAGCTTCGTAACGTTGCAGATATTGTTTATGCTCAAACAGCAACATTACACACTAACTAACATTAAAAAAGTGAAATCGCAATGAACCACCCCTTTAATATTTGTTTTTGGTCATATGAGTAATACATTAGAAACTGTAAATATCTGCTTTATTTTGTGTACACCCAAAACAACAAAACGTGACAAATTGCTTTTGTAAAATAAACTAACGCTCTTCAAACATGAACTGAAACTCAGTGAATACTTGACACAGACATGAGAAATATGTCCATAGAAAGGTTGAAATGTGTACTTCTAAATTAAACAATCGAAAACAAATATTTTCTGTTTATTTAATTCGTAAATAATAATAATATAATAAAAAACGAGAGGTAGGCTATAGTCGTTCCGTCTGAGCTCATTAATTGTAATGAGGTCACACCCACGCGCAGCGCAGCCTATTCTTACTCTTATTATTCTTATAAATGATGTAAGTGATTAAAATATTTAGTGAAATGTTTATAGAAGGGTGTGTAGAATAATGTCACCTCATTGTACCCAGTTTTTGAAAATCCTGTTAAAAGCTATATATTAATGGAATTTATTTACTTTACTGTTTGCCATTATCCAATTCCAAGTCCTCCCATTCATTTAGTTCGTCCTCGTCAGGAGAAGGCCAACAACCGCCAGTTCTTGGACCACTTCTCTTCTCTGTCTACATGGCATCACTATGGCATCACTTTTCATATCACTGCTATGCTGATGACACTCAACTCTACCTCTCATTCCATCCTGATGATCCGACGATAGCTGCTCGCATCTCAGCTTGTCTAACAGACATTTCTTGTTGGATGAAGGACCATCACCTTCAACTCAACCTTGCCAAGACAGAACTGCTTGTGGTTTCAACAAACCCATCGTTTCACCACAATTTCACCATCCAGTTAGTCAAGTCAAGTCAAGTCAAGTCTGCTTTATTGTCAATTCTCTCCCCTGTTAGCCACGGCTTCTGGTTGGCCCGGACAGTGATGGTCTTTGTGACTGTTACATCATCAATGCACTTGGTGATGTAGGCAGTGACAGTCTCCGAGTACTCCTGGAGGTCTGTGGTGTTATTGTATGTGGCAGCCTGCTTAAACATATTCCAGTCAGTGGTGTTAAAACAGTCTTGAAGAGCCTCTGACGACCCTTCCGGCCACACTTGTATCAATTTGTGAACTGGTTTGGTGACTTTAACGAATTATCACCAAACCAGAATTAGGCACATCAACCATAACTCCTTCAAAAACAGCTAGAAACCTTGGAGTTGTGATTGATGATAAGCTGAATAAGTAGGCCTATAATCACTAAAAAGTGTCAGTCATTTCAGTTTATCGCTATCTCCAAAAGTTCCACTATAATCAATGAAGCTCTACACTGCACAGTGAATTTCTTATTTAAATCATGTTACACTTTTTTGTTTGTTATAGTGAGAGACTCCCGAGCGTGCAGCACTGAACAAAACTGCCATTTTGTGTGGTGAATGGATTCTAACATAAACACCTCTGTTTAGCCATTGCGTTCAAGAAATCGACAGAAATGTCAGTGATTGACCCATGCTACAAAAACACGCTGAAAATAGAAACCTTTAAAGCTCTCCAGAGTTCAAACACAAATACACTGGAGCATCTGGAAAATATGTTTCGCCAGTATATCCTATTTCTGCAGCTTCAACTGAGGTGCTCTTGCTTTCATTTCGTTCCCTCTAGCACTTCCGTAGAACTGACCCTGGATACATTTAAATGCAAAGAAATATCTAATGAGTATTTCATACATGTTTTTAGCCGTGAACAATTATCAAGATCATAAAAATACCTAAGCCAAAGGTTTTCATTAAGCAATAGGTCAGTACCACGAGAGGGTGCTTAGGGCATCTGTATAGAGACGTTAAAAAAAAAAGCTACAAACTATATTTAGCATTTATATACATTAAAAAACAAGCTTTATATAATTTTTTATTATTTTTAATGAAATACAAATTTTGAATAATGAAAATTACTTTGTGTCTGCTTATTCTATTCATCAGTTTTTTAACCATTAAGGAAAAACCGCATTTTCCATATTTTATTTCTGGGTTAAAAAATGAAAAATGAATGGACGCAAAAGTACACAGACCCTTCTGTATCTGATTTTGTATCTGAATATTTCAATAACTTACTTTTTGAGAGGACTTCATTTATTTATTGTCCAGTGCCTTATTTATAACTTTACAAATAAAGTTTAATAATAATAATAATAATTTATTTATTTACTTACTCCATTAATTAATTAATTAATTAATTCATTCAGTAATTATATACAAAATACACCACAAATAAGCCAGGGGTAAAATCCAAAAGTCTGCACATAGCCAAACATAACACAATGCTAATAATAATAATAAAGTAAATATAAATAAAATTAAATTAAAAAAAAATAAAACCAAGATAAATAGAGCTAAAGAAAACATACAAAGAAACATACACAAAATCCCTTCAAATTATAAATTAGTAAAATAATATGTATATTTGTATACATACAATAAATATATAAAATAAATATAAAAACACCAAAATGAGGGGAAAGTGTCCCAGTTTTAATACCTTTTTGTCACAATAGACAAAGTTTTAAAATAGATCCTATCCTTTTGAAATTTTTAGAGGACTTATTTGTCCTGTCTACTGTCTGTGACGTCACAGCTTTACAGACAACTGTATTTCGTCCTATTTTTTATATTTATAGTTGCGTTTTGAATGTTAATTGTTCTTCATCTGGTTTCTAGGAGACACTGCCTCCCTTGTTTCCTCAGAAGATGCCACTGGCTTATAAATGTGTCTATGGTTTACTTACATGTATCTTTATATTATTTTTCGAGTCATGCTGATTTTTGGGGAAAAAAAAAACTTTGAGCCTCTGCAGTAGATGTACATATAGATCTATGTAACAAACAAGTTTAACTGTGATACAGTCTGAACTTTTGTGAACACTGCATAGTGTGATTTGTTAAATTGCAAATTGTTTTGCAGGCTGGTCTTTTTGTACAGGTGAAGCTTGCTGAGATTCGTAAGATTTTTTAAATGCACAATAACTAAACACTGTAGCATTCACGCTTTTTGCAACGGCCAGTCACAGGCCAGAAAACCAGTGGTTAAAAGATATATATATATAAAAAAAAATAATAATTAAATCTATATTTGATATTAGCTTATTGGGACAACATGACCATGATTAGTATTAACATAGGATTTCGACTGCACAAAGTCTGGTGCTAAGTGCAGCCTAACAACAGGAAACAAAAAGCAACTTTCATCCTTCAATCACCAAAAACATCACTGTGAAGATATTCTCAACTTCATTTGGAGGATAGCACCAAAGCCTTGAAAAACTTCAGATATTACCACACATTTGAATGGTGCAAAAGAGTTGTCAGCTGTGAATATACTAGCCTTTTTTTTTTTTGAGGCCTAGAATTTCCTTAACCTCAAAAGTTTGGTAAAAGTTCATGTGGTAGAAGCTGACATACTGCATGGAGACATGCAATCCTCAACCCAAAACTACTTTAAAACAATTGTGCCAATTCTTACACAAACAGTTTTTAAAATACTGAGAGACTCCGCAATAATGATGCTCAAAGAAAACATTGGTGACCAATTACGGAAGTACAGTTTTATAAAATCTAGCGGCAAAGACTTCTTTTTTGGGAAACTGACCCTTCTAATGCCGTGATGTCACCATGTTGGAACTGTTCTGAACTTAACTGGAACACGGGAAGGTAAAGGCTGCATAATGGCTGTATATTAGGGTAGATGATCTGCATTTGCACAAAGTTTAAAAAGAGACAAATACCCACTTTACCAGAAAAATAACTGGTTTTATTGACTTAAAAACACAAGACGTGAAAATGCCACATTTAGAGATTTTTAGAGAAACTTACTAAAAGACTTCAGTGCATAAGCACATCTTGGTTGAAGCAGGCAAGTAATGACACTTTGAGAGATGGAATAATTGGCAGGGTGGGGACTAGACACTGCAACATTGTGAGGGCTAGACTCCTCAGTAGGGTGGGGGCTGGACTCATTCAGCTTCTTCCCATCAACCTCAGTGGGCAAATATTCTGACTCAAGGTGGAGAGGGCTGGACTCCTCAGCGGGCAGAGGGCTGGACGTAGTCAGCTTCCCATCAACCTCAGCAGGCAAAGCACCCGACTCCTTGATGGGGAGAGTGCCGGACTCTGCAACTGGGTGGGGGTTGGACTCCTCGGCTGCGTGGGGGCTGGACTCCACGGCAGGCTGGGGGCTGGACTCCACGGCAGGCTGGGGGCTGGACTCCACGGCAGGCTGGGGGCTGGACTCCACGGCAGGCTGGGGGCTGGACTCCACGGCAGGCTGGGGGCTGGACTCCACGGCAGGCTGGGGGCTGGACTCCACGGCAGGCTGGGGGCTGGACTCCACGGCAGGCTGGGGGCTGGACTCCACGGCAGGCTGGGGGCTGGACTCCACAACTGGGTGAGGGCTGGACTCCTCGGCAGGAAGAGGGCCAGACTCCGTGGGCTTC